TCAGGATCTGTACAGCTAGATTAAGGTCCCACCCAGCCATATCCCAATTCCCAAATTAATCTTGAATCAGGTAAGAAATTATAAACAAGCTCAGCATGGGCCTTGCTTCCCAAATCACGCTCCACCTAAACTGGTTAGATTAGATTAGTCACAATTTTTCCCTCAGTCTCTATAAGAATGATACACATACTTCTATTCCCACCCAAAATATGCCCAACCTCTCTCCTCAGTCTGCTTCTCAGCTGGAGCCCCATGTTCCCAGCCTCTGTTCTAACAGTCTCTCCTGTAATATGGTCATGGCTGCAATACAGAAGGTACTATGTTACTTGCCACCCCTTCTCTGGGTTTTCAAGACTAGAATCTTCATTACTAGCTGCCTAACTGGCTCAACCTGCCCCTCTATCCAGACTCCCAGAGTAATGTTTTGACCAATTAGGATTGTTCCTGGGCCTCTCTGACAAGAAGGCATCAACATAACAGTGGATCTGACAGAACACTCCCAGTTCTACTATTAGGTCTTCATCCTTTCTTTTTGTCATGAATTGAGGAGTAAGGACACGTCCTTCTTTGGCCCCATAAGTTTTAATTGGCCTCTGTCTAATGATTGCTTGGGTTTTGATGTCTTTGATGTGGTGGCTGAGCACACCTCTCCCTGTCTTTCCTCCCCCTCTCCTACGCCCAGCCCTAGCAATGCAGAACAACTGCAGAAACCATTAGTAAGGCTGCTCAGCAATTTCTTGGCCTGTTCTGGAGTTTCTGAGACAAATAAAACTGTGTTGTCTTTAAAAAAAAATGGTCTCATTTCATGTTCTTCTTAATTTATATGCAGGGACACATAGTTAATCAATTCCTCCTTAGCTTGTGAAAATTCTCTTAAAGGGTTTCTTCATCCCTACTCTCAGGGGTTGCAAGATGAAAACCACTTCTACTGTAGCAGGATGTCTACACTCAAGAATCTGGTAAGGAACAAGGCAATTAATTCTCACTATTTCCATATTTCCCTCCAATAGAGCACAGGGCAAATGTTTAAATTGATTCCCACAAACCACCTTGAATATCCCCTAGTTTCATAATAATAGTTACAATGAGGATTTATGAACTGAATCGTATGTCTGTATCTTTATTTAAATTAATGGCACTGGATTCTCTTACACTTGGAAATTAGCAGTGGCTATATATCAGCTAAAAAGATAAAAAGGTAAAGGAGCAACATTTTAAAATCTTGTAAAACCTAGATAATTTTCAGTGATTATTTTTAATGTTGTAGAATATTTCTGAAGTTTCATGGAGAGATGGTCTTTTTCCCTGAATATATACATACCTATCTTTACTAATATAAAAAGCTAGTAAAGCCTTGTATGTAAAAGTCATAATAGTAATAATAATGAGAATCATAATAATTTATATGACCTTCCCTGGCTGCCAAGTACTATTCTAAGCACTTTATAAACATTAACTCTTTAAATTCTCAGAAGAACACTACGCAGTAAGTAGGACTATTCCCTAATCTTAGTTTAAAAACAAGAACAATGACAACAAAAACTGAGAAGCAGAAAGGTTTAAAAATTTGACCAGATGGAAAGTGGCAGAAGAGATATTTAAACTTAACCTAACCCATTTTTTTATAGCTGTGAAGATGCACACAACCCAATGCACTACATTGGTGTGTGTGTGATGTCTTTGCCCTCTTGATGAATACTGAAGCAGAGTGAGAGTGCCTCCCACAGTTCTTTCATGAAATACATTGACATGAATGTGGTCTTTGTGCTCATTTTGGGGCACGTGATTTTATTACTCTGAATATTATTTGAATAATAACTTGTGAATAATTTGAGCAGTAATAACTTTAAAATCTTTCTGGACTATTACACAGATATAATAGATCACTATTAACCTTGACATTCAACTTTTAAATTTTTCAACTTCATGATTACGTGAATAATTTTCTCTCAGAGTTATGACAGCATTCATATGATCTTCTCTTTTCATCTGGTACTTTGGCACTTTTGGAAACATGATGAGATTGTAATATGATTAATACATTAGTACACATAGTTTCTCTACTATCCTTTCTACTTTTTCTGAAGACATCACATTCTTTTGCACTCTCTCCTTTATCCCTCTGCTTTATTTACTTCCAAGGAACCTGATTTTTATTTCATCTTATGATCTCCTTCTCTTTCTAAAATCATGTAAGTTATTTAAAAGCTGTCTAATCTTGGATCTTCTGATGACTTATGAACATGGAAATTTTGATTATTTCATACTTTCATTTATTTGGATTATAGAGACACACTGGAATTTACTTTGTAAAATAGTCTTGTCAGTCCTGGCAGGAAACATATGATTCCATTATAGCTTTGCCATGTGTCTATAAAGAAATGTCTTCATACTTTAAATATGTATTCCCATGCAATAACAAAGGCACTAATTCTAAGGGTATTGCAGAAAGCATAGCGATCACTGCTTCTAACATCCTGCTTTGTGACTGCTTGATACATTTCATAGAGCAATAAACTAACCCTAGGGTCAGGATTCCAACCTATTCACTGCAACACGTCTAGATGTAAAAAGTTTACCCTTGTATAACTAATGATCTTAGTCAAGGTGCTAAATACTTGCTTGTTCTATCTATTAATTGATCCATTTCCTTGACCTTTAGGCTCTATGACATACTTCTCCTAGAATTCATAAGTCTTGCGTTGTTGCTATCCTGCCCCAACATGATAATATTGACATGTTTGAAAAAAGGCTCTAGTCATTTTAGTACCCTAAATTTCATCTCTTTATCCTACAAATGAGGTTTCATAAAGAATTAGAATAAGTTTCAAAGCTCATTGGAACTATTCATTAATATACTGTTATAGATTCTCAGCAACCATCTCTTCTATAGGCAACATAATTACAAGTGAATTACAAATGCAGACTTTATGACCCCAATTAAACACTAGCCACAGTCCATTAAAAACAGATTACACACATTACACTTGATGTAAGAAAAATATGCCACATGATTTGAACTACCAAAACAAATAAGGAGCAACAATTTCAAATAATGCATGTTTGCCTCAAAAATTTATCAACATAACCTAAAATATTTTCTTGAAAATCATCACAGAAAAAATTCTATACTATACTTAATAGTATATATATACTTTATATCCTATCTTAATAGGATATAAAGTATATATATAGTATATATATACTTTATATCCTATCTTACTTATTTCATAGTATATATATACTTTATATCCTATCTTACTTATTTCATTATTTTATTCTACCCCAAGAACATTTTTGAAAGTCTTTCCCTAGAGTGAGAGATTGAAAAAGACTATTTTTTAGTTGTAAGAGCAGTAGGTTTTTTTAGTTCTAAGAGCATTATAATTTAAGTATTTAATTTTAGGGCTTTTATTTTGTAAAACTCAAGCAACTAAAAATTAATATGAAACAAAGTGGACTGCTGAGAAGAGCAGATCTTAAGAAAATGTCATCAAGGACTGCGCACCTGTCTCCACAATTGGGAGACTCATTTATCACCGAAGTGTTGTCTCTGAAATGTGTGACTGCTTAAGGATTGGGTTACTAGGAAAAGTAGCTGTTTAATACTATATCTCTAAAATTTGATTCTACCTAATCCTCACTCCCATCCATCAGATCTCACTTCTCCAATAAAGAATGAGAGGGTGCCTTGATGGTTTGGCTCAGTGGATAGAGCATCAGCCTGAGGACTGAAGGGTCCTTTGGTTCAATTTCAGTCAGGGTTTCAGGCTCCATCCCCAGTGTGGGGCATGTATGGGGCATGTAGGAGGCAGCCAATTGATGATTCTTTCTCTTCATTGATGTTTCTATCTCTTTCTCCCTCTCCATTCCTCTCTGAAATAAATTTTAAAAATACATTTAAAAAAAGGTAAGAACTAGGTCAGTTTGAATCTAGCATCTCTGACCTGGGCAAGCACACAATGAAGAAGAGGAAATGAAGCTGAAACAAAGCAAAACTATGCTGGAGCAAGATTAACTTGAGGTACAAGAAAGGTTGCAAAAGAAAAAACAAAAAAGTAGAAGATTCCAAATAGAAGATTAAGAACTAATTCAAATAAAGCAATTTGAAGGTATTATATGAAATAAAATGAGATCATTTAGTACAGGTGTTCTAAGAATTTGAAGAGATTTTGATGTCTTGAGTGCAAGATAATATTGATGATATTACCATTAAAAGAGGGACAAATGGGCATCCCCAATATTAGCCCTATAAAACACACATGGGCAACAGTACCCCATATGCACTGTACAGCCGTGATGCCACACAGAGAAAAGGAGAAAGGCAAAGATGTAAGAAAGTGATTTAAGATATTAAAAGACTGGAAAATAGTTTTCTTTTTTTAAAGAAAGAAATAAAAGATAGAGTTATGTTTCCAATGGGGATTTTTATGCTATATCTAGATTTAAAATACTGAGATACATCTTATTGAGGTAGTCACTTTAGAATGAACCTGAAATAATGTCCTTATTGGAATATCCAGTTTTCTCATCTAATTCAGGCAAGGTTTCACAAAGCCACCAATAGCCTGGTAGAAGCTTTATAATCTAAATGTTTTCAGTACTAAACTTTACTGAAGGCATTTTAATCAAGGAAACAGAGGGAAAGTAACTCATCCTCTATCAAATTTTCTGCATCTTAGTTTGCCTCAGGAGAGGCTGATAATTAAACACAAAGGAAGAGGTAACAATTTTACAAAAACAAATGCAAATATCTTAAGGACAGCTAAGGTTTATTGGACTAAATCATCATCTCTCACAGAAAATTCTGGAAAAGAAATACATTGAAAACACAAGTAGAAGAAAACTTTTAGAGGGGGAAGTAATAAGTTTGTGACTTGGGAATTTCATGAAGGTCCTTCTGCACTCTTTGGGTTTCTAATTCTCTCACTTTTCACTGCTGAGCACCCAGTCCCTATGATCTCTCTGAGGAAGGAAAGTAAGAGAAGCTCAGGCCTTACCGCCTCCACCTCGGCCGGGTCATACCAGACGTTGATGTAGGGATGCTGTAAGGCTTCGTCCACTGATATCCTTTTGGCTGGGTCAATCACGAGCATCTTTGACAACAAGTCCCTGGCTTGGCTGGCTGAAATGACGGAGAAAAGATTATTAGTAAAATTTTTATTTTGGCAAAGACATTTGTTGGAGGGAGAGGAAATTAGGAAAACAAAGATTGCTAGTGGTATGGCTCAGTGGTTGATTGTTGACCTATGAACCAGGAGATCAGTGTTCAATTCCCAGTCAGAGCACAAACCCAGGTTGCAGGCACAATCCTCAGTAGGGGGCATTGAGGAGGCAGCTGATTGATGATTCTCTCTTACCATTGATGTTTCTATCTCTCCCTCTCCCTTCCTCTCTTAAGTCAATGAAAATATAATTCAAAAATAAAAATAGTATTTATATATTTTTTTAAAAAGAAACCAAAGATCAACTAGTACCTTCGTCCCAAAAATCAGATAACTTCACCAAGTGATTAGGGAACATAAAAATTAATATATTTTACCTAGCAGATTTGCAAAAATAAAAGATGGTGTAATGCCCAGGAACACCAAGTAATTTATCAACAGTACAACGATTGAAATTCCTTTTGAAAGCCAAATTTTTTAAACTTAAACTTCTTCTAACGCCACTTCTTCAAAATATAATCGCCCAGGCCATGCTATTTTGTGGAAGAGCCACACTTAAGAAGCCAAAGAGCTGCATGTGGCTCACGAGCTGTAGTTTGCCGACCACAGATTTAGTCTATTGCCATTCAGAGAGCTGGTGGAGACAGCTGATGGGAGAAATGCAGCTGGGTAATGTCACAGACATGAAAACAAGGCTCCACATTTAAGATCTGCCAGATGAAAGGAAATGATAAGAGTTTGGGAAATAATAGTACATATTTTAGTTTCCCTGTCTCATTTAAATCTATAGTAGTTACAAATTAAACCTTGAAATTAAATATGTAACTAATACATTGCTCCCCTAAATATATGGGGCTAAATTTCAAAAGTATGTGTGTGTTTCATAATGTATAGAATTATTTTAAATAATAATTACATTTATTATTTTTATTTCTAACAGTTATTGAGTATTTATTGTGCCAGAATTTGAGCCCAGCCAGAAGGAAAAATCAAATTTATTTCAAAATCATGTTCTCAGAAATATCTTGTTAAAAAAATAGAATTAGAAATTTATTTATACTATACTTTATAACTTTGCCAAATTTATTCCTTGTCTATATTCCTACTACTGAGGTATTATTAACCCAATTTTGTGAAGAAATTAAGATTTGTTTCTAAAGTTCACAGCTATAGACAAAGTAGCTGAAAGAATCCTTATTAATGAAAGTGTTTATATTATATATGAAATATGTAGATAAAATCCCATGTCACTCTAAATGAAAAAAAAAAAAAAATAAAAGGCAACTAAGCATTCCCTAAAATACGATAAAACTCAGACACCTGCTTCACTAAGATCATACAACAAACAATTTGTGTTGAAAATATTTTTCAGGTAATAAATAAAAAGAATTGTAACAATGATTTTGATGTGTTACATTGGTCCTTTAGAGTTACATGACAAAATAGTTTTAAGATTCTAAATAAGCCCCATGAAATAATTAACCTGGACCCCTGATGCACACTTCAGTATTATCCTTCTCTATGGATATCCAGACAGTTCTAAAACCCTTCATACTTGCCCTTTGTAAGAAAGATCTTTTAACAAATACCTCTCCTGAACCAGGATATCAATCAGCACCCTTTGGAGGAATCCTAGAATGACTTGTCTTTAATTAATTTCCTACTGCATTTCCTCAACACTTACACAATCATAATTATATTCATGATTATAATTGTACTCTATTACAGTTTGGCTCCTCTTGCAATAGACACCATCATGATGGAAACCTCATTATTATAAAGATTTTCTAGCCTTACCCAATACTTATTTCAAGTATAGTCAACACAATAAAATTCTAATACAATAAAACAAAACAAAAAATACCTCTCCTTAAACTCAGGTAGTTCACTTTAGAGAGGTGTCTCTACCATTTGTTTGTTTAGCCCAATGCCCACATAGCGGTCCTCAAGTGCCCCTGGTGGGCTTACCTTTGAGTTTATTGTGCTCAGAATCCGCTGGGAAGAGGGAATCTGGGAAAAGCTTGGGAAAGGTGAGTCCTGCATACTTAGGCCGGTTCTCCACATAATTTCTTACTGTGGGTTGCAATTTCTTCATGAATTCTGGACATGGTGTTCCTAGTTGCTCAATTACTTTGTTCCACTGGTCAATATCTGAGAATTGAATAGTTAAGGGCAAACAAAAGTAGAGGCTACTACCTCTTGTCTTTCACTAGTTGGAAGACTAACTGCTCCTCAGAATCCTGAGCACTCATCAATACAACTAAAGTTTTAATAAGCAAAAAGAAAAAGGACAAAAATGTAAAATCAGAATGTAAGGCAATGGATCCTCTTAAAACTTTAAATTTACTTTGGGAACATATACACTTTTGGAGAACTAGCATTACTTAACAAAATAAGATATGGTGAGATAGACTTTGGGTTGTAAATATGAAAATATATTTAATAATACAAGAAGAATTTCTTATAGTAAGATAAACTTCTATATAACCATGCAATTTAAAAGATAAAAAATATGACACATATTTTATCATGGAATTAACTCAATCATTTATTTCCTAAAAATGACAAATGTACAATATTTAAATAAGATTCATTTACATGTTTCTTAAATTCCTTTTAAGATTTTTTCTTCTTTTATCAAATAAGAAATTTCATCATCTGTTAATGTTTTCTACTCATATGCATTACTTATGGGATTAATATAATTTTTATTAGATAATCCATTAGTTCCTAACAAAGGCTTAAAAAAACACTTTTCTATTTATCAAAGTAGTCATAGTCTCATATTTTCTTGGTTGTGTCCTGTCTCCCAGAATATTAAGAAGACATGAGGGTAGGCATAGTACATTCAATTTAAAATAATACAATCCCATCCAAGTGCATGTGTTTCAAAAGTACATTAAGCATGCAGAATTCTACAGGAAAAATATTGTTGCTATGAAAATTAATACTCCCTAAAATTGGAGCTAGCTCTTGGACACTGAATGAGATTCTCTTTTTCATTTATTATTAGCATTTGTTATATCAGTACTTTGTGAAGGATAAATACTACTAATGAAAACTCTGAAGAACTGGAAGAGACTCATTTGAAAGAAATTCCTTTGCCATATGTCAATGAATGATAAAAGCCTTAGAAATTCTTCTTAAATCCAATACCACAGGAAGTGTTACTTTTGCATTTGTTTATTCTTTTACAACTCTATCCGTTAATAATAAGTAAATTCATTCAGTTCTGCTAATGTAATATGCAACAGTTCAGGGAACTTACCATAATATTACTTAATTGAGGTTTGTAAACTCCTTATTCAATACAGTTAGACTAAAGAAGATCAACAGTCCTGATAAAAAACATTAACTATATTTAACAGACATAGTATATAATGCAAACAAAATAGATAGGATATTATACAAAGATAAAATTAAGGTAATTTTCTAATCTTATATCTCCTTTGTAATATAGCTATAGAAAATTTAAATTATTATACAACCTCTTAGTTACTGGGATGAAAAAAGACATATAATTGTGTAATATCAAGAAATGAAGTGAAAGGGGGAAAATTGAATACTATTCATGAGAATATTGTAGTAAGTCAGAATAATTAGAAATAAAAGAGCTAAAAATGTTACAAAAGATTAAGTTAAAGTCACTCTTATGCAAAAACTTACATTAGTACTATAGATAAAATTAAGCTTGAACTATTTAAACATATTGAAATAGAAAAGGTTAATACAGCTAAATAAATCTCAAGGGTTTAATTTGTAAATTATAAAAAGAGGTCTATTCTCAAATACAGTTAGGTTATCAAGTCCTACCAAGCTATCATTTAATCACTGGTCAAACTTCCTTAGGATTTTACAGATGATGCCAATCTAAAAATAGAGGCAAAGAAGCTATCATGTTTTCTGTAAAAGTGTCATTAAAAAAGGTGTTATCCACTATTATATTCTAGTTACATTTAACTAGAGTTGTAGAGTTATTCAGTAAAAAAAATTATTACTTTTAAAGTAGTGTTCCCCAAACTATTGCATGTTATTTTTAGAGCAAAGTTTCAGGAGAGTCAAATAGTGTGGGATTTATTAAAGCAAGAACAGTTAAAATGTTTCTTTGTACATTACTAGAGGCCCAATGTATAAAATTCATGCAAGGGGCTCAGCCCTCAAAGCCCCAGCTTTGTCCAGAAGGTCATCAGGAAGGATGTCCGGAAGAACCTTCGATGTCTGGTCTAATTAGCATATTACATTTTTATTATTATAGACTAGAGGCCCAGGGCATGAAATCCATGCACAGAGGGGGGGTGGGTATCCCTTAGCCCGGCCTGCACCTTCTCCTATCTAGGACCCCATGGGGGATGTCCAAATACCAATTATATCAATAACCAATCCATTTTAACCAATTTTATTTTAACCAATCTATGTTTGTCACAAGCAGTTCTCTTAAAACAGCAATTGGACATCCCTCTTGCAATCCAGGACCACTGGCTTCTAACTGCTCACCTGCCTGCCTGCCTGATCACCCCTAACCACCTCTACTTTCCTGCTTAATTGTCCCCTAACTGCTTCCCTGCTGGCCTGATAGCTCCTAACTGCTCACTTGCCTGCCAGCCTGATCACCGCTAACCACCTCTGCCTGCCAACCTGATCACCCCTAACTGCTCTTCCCTGCTAGCCTGATAGCCCCCTAACTGCTCTTCCCTGTCAGCCTGATAGCCCCACACTGCTCTCTCTTGACAGCCTGATCACCCCTAACCACATCTGCCCACCAGCCTCATTGTGTCCCCTAACTGCTCCCCTCCCAGCCTGATTGTCCCTTACTAGCTCCCCTGCTGGACTGATCATCCCCTAACTGCTTCCTTGCCAGCCTGATCACCCCCCCCTAACTATTCTCTCCTGCCAGCCTTATTTCCCCCAACTGCCTTTGCCTTGGCCCCTGCCACTGTTGCTTTGCCCAGAAGGACATCCAGAAGATGTCTGGTCTGATTAGCATATTACCCTTTCATTAGTATAGATAATTAGAGCCTACAGAAGCACTCAATAAATTTTTCTACCTTTATAAATAAAACACAATAATGGTCCTTGATGTAATAGTTTACAAAACATAAGGAGGCATGAATCTTTATTGTCCATAAAATACTTGAATGTTAATACTTCAAATGTAAAGATTATATAATCATCTTTAAAAGTTTGTGTCTTTATTTTAACCAATCCATTTTAAGTTCTTTCTCCCCATACATGAAATTATTTGTGTTAGTGCTTCTTTCCCAGATGTTCACAGGATCACAACATGATTTTCCTTTATAATAATTATAATTATTAACCAAATAGAAACCAACTATACTTCTTTAACCACATGACTTTCCTTTATAATAATTATTATCCAAATAGAAGTCAATACTGAAAGTCATGATTCTAAGTCCAATGCTTATTGCAAGAATTCCAGTAAGGAAAAGAGCAAGTTTGAAATTTATCTGATAGAAATTGTTTTAATTTGGTCATAAAATTGATGGTATGTTTGTCACAAGCAGCTCCCTTAAAGAATGTCTCTGAAATTGTCTCCTTAGTTTGCCAGATCAACATATTCACCTAAAACTATGGTTAGCAAGTTGCAGCTCATGAGCCATATATGGCTCTTTGGCCATTTGAGCTCTTCCACAAAATACCACGACTTGGGCAAGTCTATTTTAAAGAAGTGGCATTAGAAGAAATTTAAGTTTAAAAAAATTGGCTCTCAAAAAAATTTTCAATTGTTGTGCTGTTGATATTGACTAATGAGTTTGCTGACCACAGACCTAAAACAATTAATTTCTATTAATATTTTAAGTAAAAAATAAGGTGATACAGGTTTTAAAAATTTTAATCATCAGATTCCCACATGGTTACATTTTTTTAAATATATAAAATATTAACTGACTTTTGTGCTTATGTGTGAATGTTAACCTGGTAAATATTTTTTAAAGAATAGCCAAAAGTAATTTTGTGAAAGGATTTAGTTGCTTTAAAACTCGTAAGTCATTACTATCATTTTTTGTAGTTGTTAATCCTAGAATATTTTTTCCACTGTTTTTTTAGAGAATGGGAAGGAGCAATGGAGGGGAAGAGGATAGAAAGAGAGAGAGAAACATTGATTGGTTGCCTCCCCGACATTCCCTGATGAGGGCAAGGGCTAAAACCTCCAACCCAGCTACATGTCCTTGTCAGAGAATCAAACCTGTGACCCTCTAGTGCCAGGGCCATTATTTTTTATACTGTATGCATATGGATCTGAATATTTACAGAATCAAGCCTATGCAGTTATTAAAAAATAATAAACATGTTTTGTATTTTTATTTACTATTTCAGTAAGAAATTTATCACCCTTAACATATTTATCAAAGGCATTTAATAAAAATTGAAAAATGTCATTTTATAGGAGTTATTTGTCACTAAATTTCTTCATCTAATTATAAATTCACTACATAAATATAGTCATATTACAAAAAATTTGATTATAGAGTATGATGACAAGATAATGTGCAAATATTGACTATTAACTGATGTCTTTAGGAAATAGTATTATAATAGATGAATAAAACAAAGTAAATATGGATTGTAAAAATGAGTTATTTTAAATACTGAGATTGAAAATTCTTTGTTAATTTTATCAGTTAGCAAAAAGCTTACATTTCTTGTACTCCTTTTACTTTAACTTCATTGGTTGGAAACTTTCTAAAATATATCACAAACTGCCTTGAACATAATATATGAAAAATACCTTATCTTTTAATGGGTATTTTAAGTCATAATTATGAACATAATTTATACAATGCACATTTAAGTTTTTACAAAGTAGATTCAAAAAGAGTATTTAATGGTCTCGTTCTACTATGCCCTTCGAAAAACTGTATCTTCTTTTTATGTTTTCTCCCATAGTTGATTACCTTTTGTTATTATTGTTCCCAGAGTTAATGACTTCATAAATTCAGACTTGCTTTCTCCCCTAATTGAAGCCTTGTAGTCAATATTTTGTGCAAAATTTTCTGACACCTATTTGCAACATAAAGAATAACAGTGTTTATCTCCAAATTCTTAACTGTGTTTTTAAAAAATTATTTTGCCAAAGTATAGTTTCAAGAGAGGTTATTTTGTCTGTCAAGCCATCTATCTGCCTAGGCTGT